AGCAGAAGATGTAGACTCTGGGGTCAACGGAGAAGTAGCCTATTCGTTTTTTGATGTCTCAGAAAATATTCGAACAACCTTTCAAATCAATCCTTTTTCTGGGGAAATCTTTCTCAGAGAATTGCTTGATTATGAGTTAGTACATTCTTACAAATTAAATATACAGGCAATAGACGGTGGTGGCCTTTCTGCAAGATGTAGGGTTTTGGTGGAAGTACTGGACATCAATGACAACCCCCCTGAACTCATCATGTCATCATTTTCCAACTATATTGCTGAGAACTCTCCTGAGACGGCACTTGCTGTTTTTAAGATTAAAGATAGAGACTCTGGAGAAAATGGAAAGATGGTTTGCTACATACAAGAGAATCTGCCATTCCTACTAAAACCTTCCGTGGAGAATTTTTACATCCTAATGACAGAAGGGGCGCTAGACAGAGAGAGTAGAGCCGAGTACAATATCATCATCACCGTCACTGACTTAGGGATACCCAGGCTGAAAACCGAGCACAACCTAACCGTGTGGGTCTCCGACGTCAATGACAACGCCCCCGCCTTCACACAATCCTCCTACACCCTCTTCCTCCGCGAGAACAACAGCCCCGCCCTGCACATCGGCACCGTCAGCGCCACAGACAGAGACTCAGGCACCAACGCACAGGTCACCTACTCGCTGCTGCCGCCCCAGGACACGCACCTGCCCCTCGCCTCCCTGGTCTCCATCAACGCGGACAACGGACACCTGTTCGCCCTCCGGTCGCTGGACTACGAGGCCCTGCAGGCGTTCGAGTTCCGCGTGGGCGCCACAGACCGCGGCTCCCCGGCGCTGAGCAGCGAGGCGCTGGTGCGCGTGCTGGTGCTGGACGCCAACGACAACTCGCCCTTCGTGCTGTACCCGCTGCAGAACGGCTCCGCGCCCTGCACCGAGCTGGTGCCCCGGGCGGCCGAGCCGGGCTACCTGGTGACCAAGGTGGTGGCGGTGGACGGCGACTCGGGCCAGAACGCCTGGCTGTCGTTCCAGCTGCTCAAGGCCACGGAGCCCGGGCTGTTCGGCGTGTGGGCGCACAATGGCGAGGTGCGCACCGCCAGGCTGCTGAGCGAGCGCGACGCGGCCAAGCACAGGCTGCTGGTGCTGGTCAAGGACAATGGCGAGCCTCCGCGCTCGGCCACCGCCACGCTGCACGTGCTCCTGGTGGACGGCTTCTCCCAGCCCTACCTGCCGCTCCCGGAGGCGGTCCCGGCCCAGACCCAGGCCGACTCGCTCACCGTCTACCTGGTGGTGGCGTTGGCCTCGGTGTCGTCGCTCTTCCTGTTCTCGGTGCTCCTGTTCGTGGCGGTGCGGCTGTGCAGGAGGAGCAGGGCGGCCTCTGTGGGTGGCTGCTCGATGCCCGAAGGCCCCTTTCCAGGGCATCTGGTGGACGTAAGTGGCACCGGGACCCTGTCCCAGAGCTACCAGTATGAGGTGTGTCTGTCGGGAGGCTCTGAAACCAGTGCGTTCAAGTTCTTGAAACCAATTATCCCAGATATTCAGGCACAGGACCCCAGGAAGAAGGTTGAAGAAAATTCCACCTTCCGAAATAGCTTTGGATTTAATATTCAGTAAAGTCTGTTTATAGTTTTATGTCCTTTTGGTGTGTTATATAACCCTATTGCCATTAGTTTACTTTTAAATCTCAAATCGAAGTTATTATGCAAATTCAAGCACTATTGTAGAGCAGTATATCCCTGCGGTTTTACAGTGTTTTATATTTTTCATTAATAACAGCTAAGTTTCATTTAATTAGTACTTGTTTCTAAATAATAGTGTTAAGATTTTAATTATTTCAAACTGCCTAAGCAATTAATTACTATTATATCTCATCATAAACATCAGAGGTTTTGATTTATTTCGGATCTTGCACCTCATGACTAATCACTTCTGTCTACATAGTGTACTTGCGCTATTTAAGAAAGCATATCTACATTTTCAAACTTACTCTAACATTCTATATACTTGTTTTTGAAAACCATGTCATTTATTTCTAAATCACAACCTTTAAAAAGAAATATTTCTCTGTTACTATGCTTATGGCACAATGAAACAAAGCATATTTATTGTGAGCAATATTGAACATCAATAATATCCATAGCTATACTTATTATTTCATGTTTTAAGCATGCTATTTTCACTTGGCCAATATTTTCTTATGTTATCTTTTCTGATATATAAAACAAACTATGCCTTATAATTGAAACAAAATTATAAACTACATGAAAATGAATACAAATAAAAACACTTTGAAATTTGTGTTTGAGATTGTTGTAGATGTTCATTTTTTGGGGGGGAGGGAAGGAGGAAGGGAGGAAGGCAGGAAGGGAGGGGAGGAGGAAGGGAGGGAGGAAGGAAGGGATGAAGGAAGGAAGGGAGGAAGGAGGGGAGGGAGGGAGGGAAGGGAAGGAAGGAATTCAAGCAATGAGAGAGACATTGCCGACCTGGATCTAGAGGTTTACAAGTTGATTTCTTTTTTTGAGAGAAGGAAAAAAAATGAGTAAAGGAGAGAAAGAAAGAGGAAGAGAAATGGAGGGTGAATGGAAATATTGCTTTATTCTGAAAAAAAAAAATGGGTATTAATAATGGCCAATCAATGTTTCATTTAAACCTATGAGTAGGTGTGATGTGGTATTGACAAGAATGTATATTTTATGTATTTGAAGTGGAGAGCTCTATAAATATTTATTAAGTTTACTTGTTCCAGATCTGAGTTCGGGTCCTTGATACCCTTATTAATTTTCTGTCTCATTGAATCTAAGTCTCTATGTATCTGGGTGTTAGGATCGGTAGCTCTTGTTGTTGCATTGATCCTTTTACCACTATATCTTTGTTGCTTTAAAATCTATTTTATCTGCTACGAGAATTGCAACTCCTGCTTTTTATTTATTTATTTATTTATTTATTTATTTATTTATTTATTTTTGCTCTCCATTTGGTTGGTAAATCTTTCTCCATCCCTTTGTTTTGAGTCTTTGTGTATCCTTGCATGTGAAACAGGTCTGGATGTAACATGCCGTTGGGTTTTGGCTGTGTCTTTTGATTGGGGGATTTAGTCGATTTAAATTTAGGGTTACTGCCATTTGATGTTAACTGGCTGTTTGATCCATTCGTTGATGTAAATTCTTCTTTATGTTGGTGCTCTTTACTTTTTGGTATATTTTTAGTAAGGGTAATACTGGTTGTTTCTTTCTGTGTGTAATGCCTCTTTCAGAAGCTCTTGTAAAGCAGGCCTGGTGGTAATAAAATCTCTGAGTACTTGCTTGTTCATAAAAGATTTTATTTTTCCTTCAGCTGTGAAGCTTAGTTTGGCTGGATATGAAATTCTGGGCTGAAGGTTCTGTTCTTTGAGGATGTTGAATATTGGCCCCCACTCTCTTCTGGCTTGTAGAGTTTCTGCTGAGAGATCTGCTGTAAGTCTGATAGGCTTGCCTCTGTGGGTAACCTGACCTTTCTCTCTGGCTGCCCTTAGTAATTTCTCCTTCATTTCAACCCTGGTGAATCTAACGATTATGTGCCTTGGGGTTGCTCTTCTTGAGAAATATCTTTGTGGTGTTCTCTGTATTACCTGGGGTTGAATATTGACCTGCTTTGCTAGTTTAGGAAAATTTTCCTGAATAATATCCTGAAGGGTATTTTCCAGCTTGGATTCATTCTCTCCGTCGCATTCAGGTACACCTATCAAACATAAATTTGGTCTTTTCACATAGTGCCACATTTCTTGGAGACTTTGCTCATTCCTTTTTATCCTTTTATCTCTAATCTTGTCTTCTTGTTTTCTTTCATTAAGTTGGACTTTGACCTCTGTTATCCTTTCTTCTGCTTGAACAATTCGAGTGTTTAAACCTGTGCATACTTCTCGGAGTTCCTGTATTGTATTCTTCAGTTCCATTATTTCACTTATATTCCTCTCTAAGTTGTCTATTCTCAATAGGATTTCATCAAACCTTTTTTCAAAGTTCCTAGTTTCTTTACGTTGGGCTACAACATGTTCTTTTTAACTCACAGAAGTTTCTTATTATCCATTCCCTGAAGCGTGATTCTGTCATTGGGATGTGCTCATTCTCCCTCAAGCCTTGTTCCATTGTTGATGTGGAACTGTGATCAGCTTTAGAGGGAGAGGCGTTCTGATTTTGAGTATTCTCAGCCTTTTTATGCTGGTTTTTTCCCGTCATTGTACATTTATCCTCCTGTTGTCTTTGAAATTACCAACTTTCAGATTAGGTCTGTTGATTGGACGTCCACGTTGTTAGTTCCCAGGGCCAGAACGTGGCATTAAGACTGATGGTGCTTTTCTGCCCAGGATTCTCCTGTCTGGCTTCCTTCTTGTGTCCGTAATGGGCGAGTCTGCCTTCCCCAGGCTCCAAACCTGGGTCAGAAGGGGAACCAGTCTCGTTTACTCTGCGCAGAGAGCAGCCACCCTGAGGTGCTGTCACAGCCACTGTGCCGGTCTCAGGAGTCGTGCTGGGGACCCGTGTGGGTCCTCCAACCCTCCATCAGAAGGGGAGCCAGCCCTGTTTACTCTGCTCCAAGAACTGCCGCACCGAGGTGCCTGCGAAAACGCTGCGCCGGCCAGGCCACAAGAGTCGCTGGCGACCGTGTGGTTCCTCCACTGGGGATCTTCTGCTCCTTGAGTGACCAGAATTTGTCTGAAAGTGTGGCGTCCTCTAGTTCTCTGCGCTTTGACTGAGAGCTGCAATCCCGAGCTGTTATCAATTGGCCATCTTGGATCGTTCCCCAATTGATGTTCATTTTTATGTTGCAAATTTAATTATCAAAATTTTTAAAATCAAGAGGACCTAAAGGTTAGAATAAAAAACAGTAGTTTAATTAGTTTTCACATTACCATATGTTAAAAATATGCTATATATATATATATATATATATATATATATATATTACTAACATTTCATAGTATTTTAATTAGCTCTTCCTTCAGTCCCTTACTGCAGTGTGGTTTCTTCTTGAATTTATCTCAATATTTATAAATTGTATGTTTATGATGCCATATCTTGATATTGTTTTGTACTTGAATCATTTCTTTGTATAATAGAAAAGCATTTAGCTTTCTTATTTCCAAACTAGCAAACACATACAAACATTGCAAATTATTTTTCTCCTATTCTCCCAATATAGATGTCACAGTTTCTTAGTTAAATTAGTAGTTAGTATCTATATTGCTAAGTGCTTCAGAATATGCCTTTGTGTACTGTACTATAATTGCATTTCCTTTCTTCATTGTGAAGACATCGTTTTTGTTTGATTTGTTTTCCTTTGCTGGATAGTTTTACTGGGTATGAAATTCTAGATTAAAATGAATTTTCCCTTGGATGTTGAAAGCCGAAGCTGTTTCTTTTACTATTGTGTGTCAAGTTGCTCTTTAGAAGACTGACTCCATTTTGATGCTTACCTCTTTTTATGTGTCCTTCTCTCTTACCTCCTTCCCTGGAAGCATTGAAAAACTTTCTCCTGGTATTCTGAAAATACCTTAATACAGGCATTTTATTTATGAATCTGGTCATGCAGGCATACCCTGTTAACATATAGACTCTCACTGTAAGTTCTGAGAAATGTTTTACTAATAATTTACCCATTGAGTTTACTACATTCACACTTTAATCAGAATCTCTTTAGGTATTAGACCTCCTGGGTTGACTTTCTGAGACTCTAAATTATATTATTTTTCTTCTTTTCCATCTCTTGTTCTATTTATTAAGCACTTTAATTAATTATCCAATATTCAGATTTAAGTTTTTCTTTCTGGGTAACAAATGTTTATTTTTAAGAGCTCTTTTGGTTTTTCATAACATCCTGTTACAAATTTGCAAATGTAAATCTTCTCTCACCTATAATTAATCTATTTATTATTTAAAAATGCATTATAGGCTGGGCACAGTGGCTCATGCCTGTAATTCCCACACTTTGGGAGGCTTAGGTGGGCAGATCACGAGGTCAAGTGATGGAGAACATCCTGGCCAACATGGTGAAATCCCGTCTCTACTAAAAATACAAAAAAATTAGCTGGGCATGGTGGCGCGTGCCTGTAGTCCCAACTACTTGGGAGGCTGAGGCAGAAGAATTGCTTGAACCCGGGAGGCAGAGGTTGCAGTGAGCTCAGGTCGCACCACTGCACTCCAGCCTGGCGCCTGGTGATGAAGTGAGATGCTGTCTCAAAAAAATATGCATTATATAGTAAAAGTTATTATTGTACCGATTTTAAAATTTCCAAGTGAGTCACAGCAAAGTTAAGAATTTGCCTAAGGTTATACAGCTAGTAAGGGGCACGTAAGCCTTAAGCTATTGTTTGTCTTCCAGATACAAATATGTACTTGATAGGGTTATTGCTAACATTAAGTGGGTAAATACATGAGGTACTAGAATCATGAACTTAGAATAAGTCAGTAAGTGTTAGCTCTTATTACATTTTATTTCTCTGGGGATATTAATCAGGCATTTTTTAAGCCTTTTGTTTTCTGAATTATATCTATTCCCTCCTGTTGCTTTGTTTGTGTGGCGGTAGTATTAGTTTTGGTCATTCTATTTCATGTTGTAGGCATTTTCTCAAATGTCTTATGATCTTTGGCTATCTTGTCATATATATGAATGATGACATAGAAAATGCTAACAGTCAACCCTTCGTGAGTGTTGATGACAGGGCTTCACTCTAATGTAACCATGCTAGGATAGAGCTACTACCTTGGGAAACCCCCACATACATGTAAGGCTTTATCTGCACCTTTCATATTCCCCGGGATAGAATTCCACAATACTCAGTGTTTTGGGGTTCGATAGAAAAGAGGTCAGACATATATATTGTGTTCTACAATCTGAGAGTATCATGGGCTAGAAGTATCACTATTCAGAATGTAATGTTTTGCCTAATCTCCTTATCTTTAGTTTCATACCTCATACTTTCACTCAGCTCTGCCTGGGAACTCCAAGACTGGAGATAGTATAATTTCTACAGAATATGATCTAATTTCTCCTGAGTATAAGCTTTCCATTCTCTGGCTCTCAGTTATTTTCTTGTCTTTGTAGGATGGTGAAAAGCCCAGAGAATTCAACTATTCTATGTACATACTTTTAACTAATAACTTCTTCTTCTTTTTTTTTTTTTTTTTTTTGAGACAGAGTTTCGCTCTTGTTACCCAGGCTGGAGTGCAATGGCACGATCTCGGCTCACCGCAACCTCTGCCTCCTGGGTTCAGGCAATTCTCCTGCCTCAGCCTCCTGAATAGCCGGGATTACAAGCACGCGCCACCATGCCCAGCTAATTTTTTGTATTTTTAGTAGAGACGGGGTTTCACCATGTTGACCAGGATGGTCTCGATCTCTTGACCTTGTTATCCACCAGCCTCAGCCTCCCAAAGTGCTGGGATTACAGGCTTGAGCCACCACGCCCGGCCTGCATAAGTTCTTTTTAAAGTCCTTACCTAACTTCAGCCTTCTTATACACCTGGTTCCTCCGAGTCCAGTACCTACTAGGATTATGTGGGGAAAAGCCAGTCGTTTATTTTTAGTATCTCCAAGGCAGGAAATTTATTTTAGACATTTCCTGGAACTGTTGTCAACTGCTGTTTCATCTGCTTTCTATCATCAGATATTTGTGTATTCACTTATGTATTCTTAGCCTTTGTGGGTGCATATCTTTTCATTACTTTTCTGTCATTTTAGAGGGGCTTTAAGGACAAAGGATAATTGTATAGTCAATCCACGTACTATTCAAGTTCTCTTCTTCTGAACTGATAATTTTTGAACCATGTATCTAGTTCACATTTTTATGAATGTAATTAAAATTTATCATTTTAAAAATGCAGACTTCTTAGATGTCCTCCATTCTTGAGAGTACTTTGAGATGTTTAATAATGAACATCATTGGTAGGTTCCAACTATCTACTTCATTATGTAGCAGCCATGCACTTTGGCTAGAACTGAAACCACCTCAGGTTTGAGGGGTAATCTCTGACTGGAATAAAACAAAGGGCTAAAGATGGAGTCTTTAGATTCTGAGACTATAATCTCTACCTTTAATCCTATATGTACTGAGACACTGATTTCTTAAGCAACAGGCTGAAGTGCTCTTAGTTGGTCTAACCAGAATGAGGGCTAAAATTTTGTTTATTATTGAGGAAGAAAATCTCTCTCATTCTCTCTTCTTAAGCTGAAAAAGGAAGCAGAAAGCCATAGTTGTTTCTGGAATAAATCTTGGGAAACTGAGGGAGGCCAGTCTTAGGAATAAACCTGCTTTAAATGAAACTAATATGCTTGTGCTTGTGTACTTAGTTTTTTTTTGAGAAGCTGGAACTACCTCAAGGATTCTCATAATATGCTCTACTCCCCATGTCTTACTTTACTTTCTAGCAGTTCACAATTCCCTGCTACCAAGCAAATCTATATGAATGCCTTCCAGTGCTATCATAACTATCAAAGTATGTCCCATCTCATGGTTAATCCAGTTTCATATTCTCTGAAAAGCTTCTAAAATGACCCATGTATACTTTGCCTTTTTCCTTACGACCTAAGGAAAGTCAAGTAGCAATGGATTTTTTTCAGATTAATATTATTGTTGTTTCATGTTTCCAATCTTCTCAGAGAGATTACAAACCACTGGGGCCAGAAATCACATCTTGTATTTCTGTATACACAATTAAGCAGGTTTGGTTGTGCGGAGAGTGGAGAAAGATAAATGCTTTAAGATGAATACTAACAGCACCTCAAACTAAAGAGAATATGAAACCATTATTAGAGAAGGTGCAATATATTTGTAATCACTTGAACACAATGAATAAAACAATATTTTTTTCTGGAGGACATAAAAGAGAATGGAATTTAGGTAGCTTTCACCAAATTGTGAAAATCTATGGAGACACTTGGTGGCGCTGCAGGATAATGTCGTGGAAAAAAGAAAAAAAACTACTGGATGGCATTGTGGACACTGACATCCAGTGCACACAGAAAATCAGAAGATAGAAAGAACAAGCCTTCAAGAGGGCGACCTAAAAGTCGTTCAACAGGGGTAAAATCCTTAGACGTCTGAGGATTTTGTGAACAGGTCAGAGAGGCATTCCCCGAAACTGAAGCCATTCTGCCAGAAGCTTACAGGAGAGGAGCTATGGAGAACGGAGGAGCATGTACTCCGCAGATAAGGCAAGTCCTGCTTCTCTTTGTTTTGCTGGGAATGTCTCAGGCAGTTTCTGAAACTGGGAGCTTTTCTGTGGCAGAGGAAATGCAGAGCGGTAGTTTTGTAGGCAATCTAGCAAAGGACCTGGGGCTGAAGGTGAGAGAACTGTCCTCACGGGGAGCTCAGGTGGTTTCTAAGGATAAGAAACAGCATTTGCAGCTGGACATAAACAATGGGGATTTGCTCTTGAGTGAAACGCTTGACCGGGAGGAGCTCTGCGGTTCCACCGAGCCTTGTGTGCTGTATTTCCAGGTGTTAATGAAAAACCCCACTCAGTTTTTACAAATTGAGCTCCAGGTCAGGGATATAAATGATCACTCTCCTGTCTTCTTGGAAAAAGAAATGCTCCTAGAAATCCCAGAGAACAGTCCTGTTGGTGCTGTGTTCTTGCTTGAAAGTGCAAAGGATTTAGATGTAGGAATCAATGCTGTAAAAAGCTACACGATAAGCTCCAACTCTCATTTTCACATTAAAATGAGAGTCAATCCAGACAATAGGAAATACCCCGAGTTAGTCCTGGACAAGGCGCTGGATTATGAAGAGCAACCGGAGCTCAGTTTCATCCTCACTGCTCTGGATGGCGGGTCCCCTCCCAGGTCTGGAACTGCCTTGGTCAAGGTGATGGTTGTGGACGTTAATGACAACTCCCCTGAGTTTCAGCAGGCTTTTTATGAGGTGGAGATTCTAGAGAACAGCATCCTTGGCTCCCTGGTTGTGACCGTCTCAGCCTGGGATTTAGACTCTGGAACAAATGGTGAACTATCCTATACCTTTTCCCACGCCTCAGAAGATATTCACAAGACATTTGAAATTCATCAAAAGTCTGGAGAAATTACTTTAAGAGCACCTTTGGATTTTGAATCAATTGAGTCATACTCAATGATCATTCAAGCCACAGATGGGGGAGGACTTTTTGGAAAATCTACAGTTAGAATTCAGGTGATGGATGTAAATGACAATGCTCCTGAAATCACTGTGTCATCAATTACCAGTCCAATCCCAGAAAATACGCCGGAAACCGTGGTTATGGTTTTTAGTATCCAAGATATAGACTCTGGAGAAAACGGAAGAATTGTTTGTTCCATCCCGGAAGACCTTCCATTCGTGCTAAAATCTTCAGTTGAGAATTATTACACGTTGGAAACAGAAAGACCGCTGGACAGAGAGAGCAGAGCCGAGTACAACATCTCCATCACCGCCACTGACTTGGGGACACCCAGGTTGAAAACCGAGTACAAAATAACCGTGCGGGTCTCTGACGTCAATGACAACGCCCCCGCGTTCACACAAACCTCCTACACCCTCTTCGTCCGCGAGAACAACAGCCCCGCCCTGCACATCGGCAGCGTCAGCGCCACAGACAGAGACTCAGGCACCAACGCACAGGTCACCTACTCGCTGCTGCCGCTCCAGGACACGCACATGCCCCTCGCCTCCCTGGTCTCCATCAACGCGGACAACGGACACCTGTTCGCCCTCCGGTCGCTGGACTACGAGGCCCTGCAGGCGTTCGAGTTCCGCGTGGGCGCCACAGACCGCGGCTCCCCGGCGCTGAGCAGCGAGGCGCTGGTGCGCGTGCTGGTGCTGGACGCCAACGACAACTCGCCCTTCGTGCTGTACCCGCTGCAGAACGGCTCCGCGCCCTGCACCGAGCTGGTGCCCCGGGCGGCCGAGCCGGGCTACCTGGTGACCAAGGTGGTGGCGGTGGACGGCGACTCGGGCCAGAACGCCTGGCTGTCGTTCCAGCTGCTCAAGGCCACGGAGCCCGGGCTGTTCGGCGTGTGGGCGCACAATGGCGAGGTGCGCACCGCCAGGCTGCTGAGCGAGCGCGACGCGGCCAAGCACAGGCTGCTGGTGCTGGTCAAGGACAATGGCGAGCCTCCGCGCTCCGCCACCGCCACGCTGCACGTGCTCCTGGTGGACGGCTTCTCCCAGCCCTACCTGCCGCTCCCGGAGGCGGCCCCGGCCCAGGCCCAGGCCGACTCGCTCACCGTCTACCTGGTGGTGGCGTTGGCCTCGGTGTCGTCGCTCTTCCTGTTCTCGGTGCTCCTGTTCGTGGCGGTGCGGCTGTGCAGGAGGAGAAGGGCGGCCTCTGTGGGTCGCTGCTCGGTGCCCGAGGGTCCCTTTCCAGGGCATCTGATGGACGTGAGCGGCACCGGGACCCTGTCCCAGAGCTACCGCTATGAGGTGTGTCTGGCAGGAGGTTCTGGGACCAGTGATTTCAGGTTCCTAAAACCAGTTATCCCTAATATCCAGGCAAAGGGTCCGGGGAAGAATAGTGAAGAAAACCCCACCTTTCGAAATAGCTTTGAATTTAATTTTTAGTAAGAATACTATTTACATTTTCATGTACTGTTTTAGTTTTACATAACCATATTAATATTATTTAGTTTTAAACTAGGTGTGTTGTTATGCAGTACAATTAATTGTATTTTTAAGTTTGTAAATAATTCGTTTTTGTTTTTTGTTTTTTGTTTTTTTTTTAGACAGTCTTGCTCTGTCACCCATGCTGGTGTTCAGTGGCACGATCTTGGCTCACTGCAACCTCTGCCTCCTGGGCTCAAGCGATCAGCCCACTTCAGCCTCCCAAGTAGCTGGGACTACAGGCGTGTGCCACCATGCCTGGCTAATTTTTTATTTTTTGTGAAGCTCAAGGGATGCACCCCCCTCAGCCTCCCAAAGTGCTGGGACAAGGTGGGTCAGCTACCGCGCCAGGCCTAGTTTCAGTTTTCAAGTATTGCATATTATTGTGAATAACATTGTCAATACTTTTTGTATTAATTAACTGATAGTATCCAATTAAAGAATAATTTTAAGGTTTTGATCCTTTTCAAATGTACAATAATTTACTTATTATTATTTTTCATTCTAGAAACTGAGTTTTTATTTTTCTCCTTTGATTTTTTTTTTTTTTTTTTTTGTTTGTGATAATGGTTTGCTCTTGTTGCCCAGGCTGGAGTGCAATGTCGCAATCTCAGCTCACTGCAATCTCCGCCTCCTGGGTTCAAGTGATTTTCCTCCCTCAGCCTCTCAAGTAGCTGGGAATACAGGTGTGCCACCACACCCAGCTAATTTTGAACTTTTAGTAGAGATGGGGTTTCACTATGTTGGTAAGGCTGGTCTGTAACTCTTGACCTCAGTGATCCACCTGCCTCGGCCTCCCAAAAGGCTGGGATTATAGGTGGGAGCCATCACACGGAGCCTCTCCTAGTATTTTTCACCACCTGCATCCTATGATCCTAACCACCTGTGTATTGTACTTCCTTCATGGAAGAAGTCATATCTGCACTTCCAACCTTATTCTAACATTCTATTTATTAATTTAAAAAGCCCCATAGTTTAGTTTTAAATCATACATCATTTCATTATTATGTGCTCATGGTGAATTAAATATTATTTTGTGATCAATATTAAATTTCATTAATACCTTTGTGCTTGTATTATTTTCTTAAATACACTACACTTACTTGGCTAATATTTTTAATGCTTACATGTACAGATCATGTCTTATAATACAAACAAAATGTAATAAACTGCATTAACATAAATAGAAATATTAAAACATTTTGAGAATTTGTGGGTAAGAATATTGGTGAACTGTTGGAAAAATATTCACTTTTCCTTTTATTTTGTAAATTTAGTTCATTATTTTCAAATGTAAAAATCAAGATGCACTAAAGGTTATAATGAAAAACAAAGGTGGGCTCAGTGGCTTGGCTGGGTGGGGTAGCTCACACGTGTAATTCCAGCATTTTGAGAGGCTAAGGTGGGTGGATCACCTGAGGTCAGGAGTTCAAGACCAGCCTGGCCAACACAGTGAAACCCAGTCTCTACTAAAAAATACAAAAATTAACTGGGTGTGGTGGTATGCCCCTGTAATCCCAGCTACTCAGGAGGATGAGACAGGAGAATCACTTGAATCTGGGAGGCAGAGGTTGCAGTGAGCCGAGATCTTGCCATAGCACTCCAGGTTGGGTGACAGAGTGAGATTCCATCTTCTAAAAAGAAAGAAAGAAAAACAATATTCTCTTTAACTTCCAGTCTGCTTCTGTTGAGTGGCTTCCTCTAGAATTACCTCAATACTTCTAAATATATGTTTTTACTGTTATATCATGATATTCCATTTATTTATACTTTAATCATTTCTTGCTATGGTTTTTTAAAAAAGATTTTCTTTCTGACTAATATAAACTAATATAAACACTGCACATTCCCTTTCCCTTTCTCCTGTTCTCCCAATAGAATTGTTACAGTTTGGTGTGTTGTTGTTTTGACAGAGTCTCACTCTGTCACCCAGGCTCAAGTACAGTGGCATGATCTTGGCTCATTGCAACCTCCACCTCCTGGATTCAAGTGATTCTCCTGCCTCAGTCTCCCAAGTAGCTGGGATTACATGCGCCCACCACCACACCCCACTAATTTTTGTAGTTTTAGTAGAGATGGGATTTCACCATGTTGGTCAGGCCGGTCTTGAACTCCTGACCCCAGGTGATCCGCCTGCTTCAGTCTCCCAAACTATTGAGATTACAGGCATGAGCCACCATGCCCAGCCTAGCTTTTTTTTTTTTTTTAATTAAACGAATAGTGTCCATATTGCTAAGGTTTTTTTCAAAATACACATTAGTGTAGTGAGATCGCATTTCCTTTCTTGAAAAACATTTTTCTTAGAGCTGAAAATTGTTGTTTTGTGCTTATGTAATTTTCCATTTACTGCTATTAGTTTCCTTACATTCTCTCATTTGAACCTCTTTCTTCTCAAAATATACAAATATATCGGATACCTATCAATTATGCTTATTTCTTGGTGACTTTTCGCCCAGATTTCTGCTTCATTTGTACTGGTTGCGCTACAGGCTGTCACCCTAGGACTTTTAAAAATATTTTCCTTATTGATTTTCTTTTACAAGATCCAATATATTCTTCTTCCTTAGTTTACTCTCTTATTTTGTTGATACACATCTCTCAATACCTTCATTAAAATTGATACAGAGGAAGTAAAACTTTTTGAGAGCTTGCTGTGTTATTTTCTTTTTTGCCATTTGGCTGATAGTTTGAGCATACCACTCTAGGTTGAAAATAATTTCCCCTCAGATTTCAAGAGGACTGCTCCTTTACTGTTCAGAAGACTGATTCCATTCTGATTTCTATGTCTTTTTATGTGATCTCCCCCTTTTTTCGTTCTGGGAGCATTGAAAAAAATTCCCCTGGTCTTCTGAAAATACCTTAGTACTGGCTCTTTATTTATTAATCTGGTCATATGGCTATGCCCTGTTCATGTTTTTTTAAGACAGTGTCTCAATGTGTCACCCAGGTGGAGTGCAGTTGCTATTCACAGGCACAATCATAGCACCCCTGCAGCCCCTCACTCCCTCTGCCTCTGCTGTACAAGTAGCTGGAATTACAGTGTGCTAGACCCCTTGGCTAATGTTCAGACTATCAGATTTATTTCTGAGAAATTTTGGTTGGGCATGGTGACTCACACTTGCAATGTCAGCACTTTGAGAGGCTGAGGCAGGAGGATTATTTGAAGCTATGAGTTTGAGACCACCCTGGGCAACATAGTGAGACCCTGTCTCTACATGAAAACAATTTAAAAAATTTCTTAGTATGTTTTACTTATAATTTTTCCCCTGAGTTTTCTGAATTCTCACTTCAACAACAATCTCAGTTAAATATTAGACCTCGTAGGTTGACTCTATAAGACTCTAAGCCTTTTTTCCTTTCTTATTCTATCTTTGCGTCTCGTTCCATTTTTTGGACAATTTATTTAATCACTCAATCTTTTATATTTAAGTTTTTCTTTATGACTGACTAATATTTACTTTTAAGAGCTGTTTTTGGTTCTCTGAATATTTTTCATGGTATCCTGTCAAGATTTATAAATGTAATATTTTCTGTCATTTATAATTAAGCTATTCTTTAAAAATGCATTATATAGTATCATTATAATATATTCCCTTTAAAAGTGAAAGTGAGTCTAAGGGGAGTTAAGAACTTGTCCAAGATAATACAGCTGGTAAGGAGCACTTAAGTCCTAACCTAGTCTTCATCTTACAATAGGAATATATACTTCATACAGTTACTATTTAGGTTAAATGGATAACTGCATTATGAATCGCTTAGAACAATGAGTGGCATAGAGTAAATACTAAATAAGTATTAGCATTTATTAGATTTTCTTTCTCTGGGAATATTAATCTGACATTTTCAAAAGCTTTCTTCTGCTTTCTATATTATTGTTCCTTTTCTTCATGGTGGTAGTGATGGTGGTAGTTTTGGTCTATGTTATGTTATAGGCATTTCCTCAAATGCCTTGGCTATCTTCTCATATTTTAGAAGGATGATACATCAAAATGCTGACAATCAACTCTGAATGAACAGTACCTGTTGATGGCAAGGCTCCATTCTAATATAACCATGCTAGGATACGGCTATTACCTTAGGAGACCCAAAATATCAATTGTGTCTTTATTTGGGACTTTCATATTCTCCAGGTTAATATTCTATTACATCCACTGTGTGGGATGGGTTGGGGGCCAGGTATATATCTTGCATTCTACAATCTAAGAGTATTATATGGAAAGGGACTAGAAGTCTCACCATGCAAAACGCAAAGGTTTGCTTACTCTTCCTATTTTCAGTTTGACACCTCACGCTTGTGCTCACCTCTTCCTAGATCCCCAAGACTAAAGAAAGTCCATTAAATTTCTCCAGAGAATAAACTTTCTATTCTCTGACTGTGAGCTACATTTCTGTCTATGTAGGATGATGAGAAGAATAGAGAATTTAATTATCCTTTACACATACTTCCAACTAATAACTTTTTTCCATCCTTAACTGACTTCAGTCTTCTTATACATCTGGTTCCTCCAAATCTTGTACTTAAATGAGATTGTGTATCTTGTGAGTATCTTCAATGCAGGAACTTTAGGGGCATTTTTTGGAACTGCTAACTTAATTGCTCTTCCACCTGCTTTCTGTCCTAGAAAAACATATGTGTGTTCACTTGCGCATTCTTAATCTTTGTTAGTTCCTACCATTTTAATTATTTTTCTGACACTTTAGTGCATATTTTAAAAGAAGAGAGGTTGATTGTGTATAGTCAATCCATCTACTTTTCAACTTTTACCCTTCTGTACCAATTACTGTTTCAACCATGTATCCAGCTTAAGAATATTATTCGAATTTAATATTTTAAAATGCAGACTTGTTGGATCCTTCTTCCATCCATTCTTAGTGCACTTTGAGACCTTCTATAGTAAACATCACTGATGGGACCTTAGCATCTATTCCAAACAATCTCCCTCATTATGAACCAACAATGTACTTTGGCTAGGACTGAAACCATCCCAAGCTTAAGAGGTGGTCCCAGACAGGATTAAAACAAAGTAAGGGCCAGAAATAGGTCTTTAGATTCTAGGACTAAAATCTCTACCCATAATTCCATACCTCTTGAAACAATTATTCCTTCAGTGGCAGGCACATGATCTTACTTGGCCTAATCAGACTGAAAGTTAGGTTTTAGGTTTTTGTTCTATGTTTAGAGATAGACTCTGAATCTCTTTTCCTGAGCTAAAAGAGAAAACAGCCACAGTTGTGGCTGCAATAAATTTTGGGAGCCTGGGGGAAGTCAGCTTTAGGGGTAAGAATCTGCTTTAATGAAACTAACTTGTTCATGCTTGTGTACTTATGACTTTTTTAAATAAATTATGAAAAACTGGAAATAAATGATAGATCTACATAATGTGTTCTACCCCAATATCTTGCTTCATTTTCTACCAGTTCATAATTCACTGCTATTAAGGGAATCTATAAGACTTTTTATTCTGTCACAATGACCTAGATATGCCTTATCTCATGATTAATACAGTTTCATAACTTCAGAAAGGACTTCTGAGATGATCTTCCTAACCACCTAAGGAAAGCCAGTACTGATAAAATTTCATTCAGCTCAACAATCGGTTATACCCTGCTTATTTCAGGCTTACAATCATCTCAGAAACACTACAAATTCCTGGGGGCCAGGAATCACATCTCATATCTGTATTCACCACAATTGAGCATGTTTGGTTGTGAGGAGAGTGGGGAAAGACATTGAATAAATGCTTTAAAACAAATACAAACATCGTCACAAACCTTAAAGAATAAAAAAATGATTATTATGGAAGATAGAATATATTTTAAACCACTTAAACAGAAGGATTTATTTAAACACAATATTTGCTTCTGGAAGATATTTATGTAAACAAAATTTAGGCAGTATTCATCAAACTGAAAATCTGTGGAGACGCATGGTGGCGCTGCAGGATAATACCAAGAAAAAATTAACCCTGGAAAACGTTGAAGACCCTGTTATCCAGTACAGGCAGAGAATTGGGAAGACAGAAAGAACAATCCTTTAAGGGACAACCTAGAAGCCATTCAACAGGGTTAAAATCCATAGGTTTCCGAGGATTTGGTGGACAGATGAGAGGCATATTTCCCGGAACTGCCAAGTGGAACTGAGGCAATTCTGCAAGAAGATTTTGGGGTTTTGGAAAAGAAGCTATGGAAAACGGAGGAGCAGGCACACTGCAGATAAGGCAAGTCCTGCTTTTCTTTGTTTTGCTGGGAATGTCTCAAGCGGGCTCTGAACCTGGGCGCTTTTTGGTGATAGAGGAAATGCAGAGTGGAAGCTTTGTAGGAAATTTGGCAAAGGACCTGGGACTGGAGGTGAGTGAGCTGTCTTCGCGTGGGGCTCGAGTGGTCTCTAATGATAACAAAGAGTGTTTGCAGTTAGACACACACACTGGGGATTTGCTCTTAAGTGAAACGCTTGACCGGGAGGAGCTCTGCGGTTCCACCGAGCCTTGTGTGCTGTATTTCCAGGTGTTAATGAAAAACCCCACTCAGTTTTTACAAATTGAGCTCCAGGTCAGGGATATAAATGATCACTCTCCTGTCTTCTTGGAAAAAGAAATGCTCCTAGAAATCCCAGAGAACAGTCCTGTTGGTGCTGTGTTCTTGCTTGAAAGTGCAAAGGATTTAGATGTAGGAATCAATGCTGTAAAAAGCTACACGATAAGCTCCAACTCTCATTTTCACATTAAAATGAGAGTCAATCCAGACAATAGGAAATACCCCGAGTTAGTCCTGGACAAGGCGCTGGATTATGAAGAGCAACCGGAGCTCAGTTTCATCCTCACTGCTCTGGATGGCGGGTCCCCTCCCAGGTCTGGAACTGCCTTGGTCAGGGTGGTGGTTGTGGACGTTAATGACAACTCCCCTGAGTTTCAGCAGGCTTTTTATGAGGTGGAGATTCTAGAGAACAGCATCCTTGGCTCCCTGGTTGTGACCGTCTCAGCCTGGGATTTAGACTCTGGAACAAATGGTGAACTATCCTATACCTTTTCCCATGCCTCAGAAGATATTCACAAGACATTTGAAATTCATCAAAAGTCTGGAGAAATTACTTTAAGAGCACCTTTGGATTTTGAATCAATTGAGTCATACTCAATGATCATTCAAGCCACAGATGGGGGAGGACTTTTTGGAAAATCTACAGTTAGAATTCAGGTGATGGATGTAAATGACAATGCTCCTGAAATCACTGTGTCATCAATTACCAGTCCAATCCCAGAAAATACACCGGAGATCGTGGTTATGGTTTTTAGTCTACGAGACAGAGACTCTGGGGACAACGGAAAGATGGTGTGTTCTATCCCGGAAGACCTTCCATTCGTGCTAAAATCGTCCGTTAATAATTACTACACGTTGGAAACAGAGAGAACGCTGGACAGAGAGAGCAGAGCCGAGTACAACATCACCATCACCGTCACTGATTTGGGGACCCCCAGGTTGAAAACTGAGTACAATACAACCGTTCTGGTCTCCGACGTCAACGATAACACTCCCGCCTTCACACAAACCTCCTACACCCTGTTCGTCCGGGAGAACAACAGCCCCGCCCTGCACATCGGCAGCGTCAGCGCCACAGACAGAGACTCAGGCACCAACGCACAGGTCACCTACTCGCTGCTGCCGCCCCAGGACCCGCACCTGCCCCTCGCCTCCCTGGTCACCATCAACGCGGACAACGGACACCTGTTCGCCCTCCGGTCGCTGGACTACGAGGCCCTGCAGGCGTTCGAGTTCCGCGTGGGCGCCACAGACCGCGGCTCCCCGGCGCTGAGCAGCGAGGCGCTGGTGCGCGTGCTGGTGCTGGACGCCAACGACAACTCGCCCTTCGTGCTGTACCCGCTGCAGAACGGCTCCGCGCCCTGCACCGAGCTGGTGCCCCGGGCGGCCGAGCCGGGCTACCTGGTGACCAAGGTGGTGGCGGTGGACGGCGACTCGGGCCAGAACGCCTGGCTGTCGTTCCAGCTGCTCAAGGCCACGGAGCCCGGGCTGTTCGGCGTGTGGGCGCACAATGGCGAGGTGCGCACCGCCAGGCTGCTGAGCGAGCGCGACGCGGCCAAGCACAGGCTGCTGGTGCTGGTCAAGGACAATGGCGAGCCTCCGCGCTCCGCCACCGCCACGCTGCACGTGCTCCTGGTGGACGGCTTCTCCCAGCCCTACCTGCCGCTCCCGGAGGCGGCCCCGGCCCAGGCCCAGGCCGACTCGCTCACCGTCTACCTGGTGGTGGCGTTGGCCTCGGTGTCGTCGCTCTTCCTGTTCTCGGTGCTCCTGTTCGTGGCGGTGCGACTGTGCAGGAGGAGCAGGGCGGCCTCTGTGGGTGGCTGCTCGGTGCCCGAGGGCCCGTTTCCAGGGCATCTGATGGACGTGAGCGGCACCGGGACCCTGTCCCAGAGCTACCAGTACGAGGTGTGTCTGACGAGAGGTTCCGGGACAAGTGAGTTCAAGTTTCTGAAGCCGATTATTCCTAACCTCCTACCCCAGAGCACAAGTGGAGGAGTCGAAGAAAATCTCCCGTTTCAGAATAATTTGGGTTTCTGACAAAGGACGAAAACTAAAACCCTTGCGTATGAATACATTTCTATTTAGGAACTTATTGTGAGGTGCCTGCAAAGGAGTGCTTTTAGATCATTTCAAATATGTACTCTTCGAGTCATGAAATAAATTTTGCATAGAAAAGTATCCAGATTTAGTACCAAGGACCCTACACAAATCAGGAAATGTATATCGATAATGCTTCATGTCTAACAATTATGTTTAATATAAAGTCTATTAAATGGTAAGTCTTGAGACATTTTAAATTGCTTTCCATTGTTTTCAATATTTCCTGTGACTCTCATTTCCTGAGTTGATTAGAATGCTGTTTGGGTATACCTACCCTAGTTTCAGAAGCATAGATTGTAGTATAACTTTTAAATTTTTTGAAACACTCATTTTATGAATTATACACTATTTTAAACACTTTTAATCTCAGAAGAAACATATGTGGCATGATATTTTAGGAATGAATAAATAGATGGTCTTAGAGATTCAGTAAGTTCACTAAGGTCCACTAACCAATAAGTGACAAAACTGAGCATCCATCCTAGATCTGTCTGACTTTGGGTCAGTGACCTTGCTCCAATTCCATACGAATTTTTGTCATTAGATATCGTCTGGCCAAGAGAAGAAATGTTTTTACCATATTCATACTACTGTTCAATCTTTATTTAGAAATAATAATGTATGTATTTATCTATGGTTTATTTTCTTACAAACCAATAATCCTGCTTTTATGAGAATCAATTTTAGCTATTATTACTAATGCTCTGATCTCTCCAAATCTCAAGTAAGAAACAAAATTGAAAGAGGAACTTATGCCATCCCATTTTCTCCTGAACATATAACTTTCATTTAACAGAAAAGATTAATGGTACTGAGTGGGAATACTACATAATTCTGATTGCATTATTAGTTAATTGTTTTCTTCACATGGTAGTATATTTCCAGAGTCACCCATACTTACATTTGTAATACATCTTTCTGATTTTAGAGTTTGTTTTTTAGCAGTTTTCTATTAATTATACTGCACTGCTGAATCAGGAAAATTTAAGAAAAAGAATAGTTTTATATGTGTAATATACAACATAGATGATCATTAAATTTTTAGAAATTCTGAGAAGTTAAGGAGAAGCATTGTTTGTTATAAAACTTTATAACTGTTATTTTTTAAATAGGTAATTTTTGCATGGTTGTGTCCTGAATATATTATAAATCTGTGCTGGTAACTTTAATAAAGGTAGTATTACTGTATATCACTGGTGGGATGAAATATAAGGGAAAACACCTCACAGCAGTCAAATCTTAAATTGCTTTCACGGTCTGAAGGTAAAATTATCCACTTTCTCCAACAAATAAATGGCATTAAAAATAGAAGGAGGGGGGTCTACACTAAGAACGATCTTAAGAGGTCTACCAATCAAATACAATGTGTGGATCTTGTTTGGATCTTGATTCGAACAACAGCAGTGACTTTGAAACACTTGGAAGAGTTTGAATATAGATGAGCATTAAATACTATTAACTTAGTTTTTAGGTATGATAATGGCATTGTACTTAAGGGTATTTTAGGGTCATTTAAAGTCATTATGCATTTAAAGAAATGTATAATGAAGTATTTCTGGGTGAAAATTCAGTTCCTCTGGAATGTGAAAATACTGAAGGCATAGAGTCAAGAATTGTGGCAAAACATTGATAACAGTTGAAGCTAGTTCTGAGTACTTGGAGGTTAATTACACTCCTCTCCTTTTATGAGATTTGAAACATTTCACAGTAAAAGTTTTTTAAATTGATGCTGTTAGAAGTGGAGGTAACACAAAAGGACATCCTTCCCAGAAAAAAATTACCTCTGCTGTTACAGATTTTCTCCCTCTTTAGACGAACTCTACAGCCTTTCCTTGTTCATTTCCCTTCATTATTTGACATATCTTCTCTACCTGAGATAGTCATGCTCCTGTATTCTTCTACTATTTGAATTTTGAGGTGTGTTTCTAGTTGTATTAATTGATTTATGCAGACACAGCTACTTGATAGCATCAAATTGCCACATATCGGGTATATAGTTTATTTTTAAGATTAATCTCTCTTTGCATCAGTTTCCTCATCTGTGAGGTAGGTAATTCACAACAGCCCTATCTGGTAGGTGCTATTATTGTTCTTACTTTACAGGTGAGGAAACTAAAACAGAGCGATTAAATAATTTGTTCGAGGTTCACAGCTACTAATTATTCCTGTGGTTCATGGAAATAAAAGTATAAAGATCTAAATGGAGATTCAGCCCCCAGGACCCGACCAGGTTTTACTGCTGCATATCCAACACAATCCTCCATTTCTTTTAAATCCCAAGCTTGGATAATTCCAGAATCAGAAAAAAAAGGATTCAATAGTCAAGCCAAGAGATTTTCTCATAAGAAGAATGATATCCCAGGTCCGGGGTCCTACAATGTCATTCACCAGTCACCGGTGTCCAACAGTGTCTCATTGTCCAAGAAAGGAACGTGCACGTTTCCCTCTACGCGCACCCGGTTGGACACCAACATTTCTAAATATCCTGCAGCGAATGCATACACTATCCCAACAGATTTTATTTCCAAGAGAGACTTCAGTAATTCATGTTCCAGCATGTTTCAGTTGCCAAGCTTTACGAAAGTTCTCAAATTTGAAACTCCTGCACCAAACTATTACAATGTAAGAACTCTACATATGCTTGCTAAATATAGATCAAATGAATGGCTTACTAAAATAAAAGGAAGAGGGGATCTTGGGGACATCACACACACAAAAAAGATCTAAATGTTGCCTATGTTAACTCCAATTATATTTCAAATTTTCTGCATATATTCTTTTTGCCAAGCTCTACACTGTTACCTAAATATTTCCTTTTTGCCCCAAACTCAGTTAGCATTGTTCAAAGACTAATGTAATTTCTCCTTCTGTCAGTTGTCTGCTCAATAACGTTCGGCGATATTAAAGGTGGTGTTGTAATGTTACATAGCCCCTGGGTACATAAAGGCAGAGTTGAGAATATTACATCTATTATGATCCCACGAAGTGTAAGATTCTGTGAGGACGCTTGGTGGCGCTGCAGGATAAGAAGGTACAAAGCATGGCGCTGCAGGATTAGAAGGTACAAAGCATGGCGCTGCAGGATTAGAAGGTACAAAGCATGGCGCTGCAGGATAAGAAGGTACAAAGCATGGCGCTGCAGGATTAGAAGGTACAAAGCATGGCGCTGCAGGATAAGAAGGTACAAAGCATGGCGCTGCAGGATAAGAAGGTACAAAGCATGGCGCTGCAGGATAAGAAGGTACAAAGCATGGCGCTGCAGGATTAGAAGGTACAAAGCAAACTGCAGCTGCAGCTTCATTAACCCTCAAAAAACAGCAGAACCCGGAAGCCTACGGGAAGCTTGGATGCTAACGAGACGAGGTCTGGGTTCTCTGGAAAGGACTACTCCCTGGAAAAATTCTGAGGCACCTGTGAAATAACCATAGCCTCAGATACTGGTGACTTTACAGTCCCACGGAACCCTCCTCCCTGGAAGCTGAACAAAGCAAGAGCAATGGAGGCCAGCAGGAAGTTCATTTGCAGACAAAGGCAAGTCCTTTTTTCCTTTCTCCTTTTGGGCTTATCTCTGGCGGGCGCGGCGGAACCTAGGCGCTATTCTGTGGTGGAGGAAACTGAGGGTAGCTCCTTTGTAACCAATTTAGCAAAGGACTTAGATCTGGAGCAGAGGGAATTCTCCAGGCGGGGGGTTAGGGTTGTTTCCAGAGGGAACAAACTACATTTGCAGCTCAACCAGGAGACCGGGGATTTGTTGCTAAATGAGAAACTGGACCGTGAGAATCTGTGCGGTCACACAGAGCCCTGTGTGCTACGTTTCCAGGTGTTGCTAGAGAGTCCCTTAGAGTTTTTTCAAGCTGAGCTACAAGTAATAGACATAAACGACCACTCTCCAGTATTTCTGGACAAAGAAATGCTGGTAAAAGTGTCAGAGAGTAGTCCTCCTGGGACTACGTTTCCTTTGAAGAATGCTGAGGACTTAGATGTAGGCCAAAATAATATTGAGAGCTATGTAATCAGCCCCAACTCCTATTTTCGGGTCCTCACCCGCAAACGCAGTGATGGTAGGAAATATCCAGAGCTGGTGCTGGACAAAGCGCTGGACCGAGAGGAGGAAGCTGAGCTCTGGTTAACACTTACAGCCCTGGATGGTGGCTCTCCACCCAGATCTGGCACTGCTCAGGTCTACATCGAAGTCCTGGATGTCAATGATAATGCCCCTGAATTTGAGCAGCCTTTCTATAGGGTGCAGATCTCTGAGGACAGTCCAGTAGGCTTCCTGGTTGTCAAGGTCTCTGCCACGGATGTAGACACAGGAGTCAACGGAGAGATTTCCTATTCACTTTTCCAAGCTTCAGACGAGATTGGCAAAACCTTTAAGATCAATCCCTTGACAGGAGAAATTGAACTTAAAAAACAACTTGATTTCGAAAATTTACAGTCCTATGAAGTCAATGTTGAGGCAAGAGATGCTGGAACCTTTTCTGGAAAATGCACCGTTCTGATTCAAGTGATGGATGTGAATGATCACGCTCCAGAAGTTACCATGTCTGCATTTACCAGCCCAATACCTGAGGATGCGCCTGAAACTGTGGTTGCACTTTTCAGTGTCTCAGATCTTGATTCAGAAGAAAATGGGAAAATAAGTTGCTCCATTCCGGAGGATCTACCCTTCCTCCTGAAATCCGTGGGAAACTTTTACACTCTACTAACAGAGAGACCACTGGACAGAGAAAGCAGAGATGAATACAACATCACCATCACCGTCACCGATTTGGGGGCCCCTAGGCTGAAAACACAGCTCAATATTACCGTGCTGGTCTCTGATGTCAATGACAACGCCCCCACCTTCACACAAACCTCCTACACCCTCTTCCTCCGCGAGAACAACAGCCCCGCCCTGCACATCGGCAGCGTCAGCGCCACAGACAGAGACTCAGGCACCAACGCACAGGTCACCTACTCGCTGCTGCCGCCCCAGGACCCGCACCTGCCCCTCGCCTCCCTGGTCTCCATCAATCCGGACAACGGACACCTGTTCGCCCTCCGGTCGCTGGACTACGAGGCCCTGCAGGCGTTCGAGTTCCGCGTGGGCGCCACAGACCGCGGCTCCCCGGCGCTGAGCAGCGAGGCGCTGGTGCGCGTGCTGGTGCTGGACGCCAACGACAACTCGCCCTTCGTGCTGTACCCGCTGCAGAACGGCTCCGCGCCCTGCACCGAGCTGGTGCCCCGGGGGGCCGAGCCGGGCTACCTGGTGACCAAGGTGGTGGCGGTGGACGGCGACTCGGGCCAGAACGCCTGGCTGTCGTTCCAGCTGCTCAAGGCGACGGAGCCCGGGCTGTTCGGCGTGTGGGCGCACAATGGCGAGGTGCGCACCGCCAGGCTGCTGAGCGAGCGCGACGCGGCCAAGCACAGGCTGCTGGTGCTGGTCAAGGACAATGGCGAGCCTCCGCGCTCGGCCACCGCCACGCTGCACGTGCTCCTGGTGGACGGCTTCTCCCAGCCCTACCTGCCCCTCCCGGAGGCGGCCCCGGCCCAGGCCCAGGCCGACTCGCTCACCGTCTACCTGGTGGTGGCGTTGGCCTCGGTGTCGTCGCTCTTCCTGTTCTCGGTGCTCCTGTTTTTGGCGGTGCGGCTGTGCAGGAGGAGCAGGGCGGCTTCGGTGGGTGGCTGCTCGGTGCCCAAGGGCCCGTTTCCAGGGCATCTGGTGGACGTGAGCGGCACCGGGACCCTGTCCCAGAACTACCAGTACGAGGTTTGTTTGACGGGAGGTTCCGGGACAAATGAATTCAAATTCTTGAAGCCGATTATCCCCAACTTCTCTCCCCAGTGCCCTGGGAAAGAAATAGAGGAAAATTCTACCTTCCCCGATAGCTTTGGGTTCAATATTCAGTGACCATAATCGACTTTTATATTCAATAAGTATTTTATTTTGTGGCATTTCTATGCCAATGTTTATTTCCCCCAATTTGTGTGTATTTAAAATTGTACTGATTTACTCGCGATTTTTCTCCTGTTCTTTCTCCCTTTGCTTTTAAGTGAACATTTACCTTTATTCCTGGTTCTTAAAAGGTAGCAGTTCACTCTTTAACCTAGATGTTCTTAATTTTAATTAATTTGCCTCCCTAAAGAACAATACCAAATCACATTTTTCCATGTTCCTCTCTTCAGTTGAACTTCACACACAAT